GAAAGAAAGAAAGAAAGAAAGAAAGAAAGAAAGAAAGAAAGGAGGGAGAAACTGAAGTCATGAGAGGGGAAGGGATGTGCCCAAAGTCCCTCAAAGCAAACTACTGACTAGCTTCAAACAGCAGGATACCTATCACTGTTCCTCTTTTCCTTTATTCCTTAAATTCTCCTTCCTTGAAATAAAAAAAATTTGAGTTTCAAGCGACACATCTATAGTTCCATGCAGCTTGAAAAGGTTCTAGGCCAGAACACAAAATGCCCAAGGGAATTAAAGAAGAAAATTGGCAGGAATCAAAACTAAGGTATTTTTTGTGTACCATATGATACCTGGGCAACACACCGCACTGATCCCAAGGTCTAATTAGAACATCCATGGTGCTACACTGGACACCACACATGTTGAGCTGAGCAGTGAAGAACCCCAGGAGTTACCAGTTTAAAAAGGGTTCTAGCACCAGCAGTAGCAGCAGTAGCCCAGATTTCCACCTAAAGGGATTCAGAATATGGACAACAGTTGGCCAGAACACATATACAAAGCTCCTGCTCTGTAGTTCTCAAACTCTAGGTTTCTAAGAGTTTGAACTTCAGAACTTGAGTTCTTCCCTGTAAAGAGATGATAATTAAGCTTAAAACTCTGGGAGTGAAGAATAATCAAGAAAATGAATCCCTCAGAATCACTTTGCACGTCACCGATGAGTACAGAACCGAGGCATTGCACCACTCACTCATTTTAACATTCTGATCACTTCTAGAAAGGCTTAATTGACAGTATGTCGGTCAAGAGTAGCTTCCCAAAATTCTGGACCAGGAAAGATCCAGCCCAGGAGAAAGCAGGTGAAGAGGGAGAGTGAGACTGGTAGAATGTGGAAACAAGTAACAGCAGGAAATAAACATGATCACTCTGAGCCAAGAGCAACCAAGCTTCAGGTGGGAAAGGATCTGTGACCTACAAGTACAGGTCCTGCAGAGGAAATGCTGGCAGCAGATACCAGAGATACTAAAACCTGGAGGGTAGACTGCGCACAGAAACTTGGTTTCAAGTAGTGACTAAGGAAACTAGGGAAGATTTTCAACAAAAGAAGTGAGGCATAAAGGATCTCTCTCTAAAAGTAACCCTGTTCCTTATCTTTCTCCAGAAGTCTCATGACATTTTTTGCTCTACTAAACAGCACCCTCAATTTTCATAAGTCCTATAAAGGGAAGAAGAATTGAATTTCAGCCTACTTTTTCCTAAATAATAGCAAGGGGGAGGCAATGAACCAAATCTGTGATGACAGCTTCACACAAATGAAGCTCAATATTAAATGACCAAGGACTGATTGCAGGTAAATCACGCTTCCTGAGTTATAAAATACAATAAAGCCAGACAGTCTCCGAAACAAGTGCTGAGCCTTTCCTCCCAGTATTAGGGGCCTCAGGTCCTCCTCAGGCAAGATAAATCAAGAAACAATCAAATTACAGTTTAGGGTAGTGATGGCGAACCTATGATATGCGTGTCAGAGGTGACACGCAAACTCATTTTTTTGGTTGAATTTTTCTTTGTTAAATGGCATTTAAATATACAAAATAAATATCAAAAATATAAGTCTTTGTTTTACTAGGGTTGTAAATATCAAAAAATTTCTATATGTGACACGGCACCAGAGTTAAGTTAGGGTTTCTCAAAATGCTGACACGCTGAGCTCAAAAGGTTCGCCATCACTGGTTTAGGGGGATCCAGTCTTGCCAACCTTCTCAGGAGGCAGGGATCACATCTTGGACCTCTCCAGAGTCTTTAACACAGGACTCATCACCCAGGAAGAAACTCCATATTTAATCAACTGAATGACAGTGGACTCCATTCAGATTTTGAAAACATTGCAAGGGGTTCAAATCTTAACTCACAACCCCACTTGTCTAATATTCCAGCTGAGAGAAATGAAACAGCAAGAGTGGTAATGTAGCCGAAACCGGTTTGGCTCAGTGGATAGAGCGTCGGCTTGCGGACTGAAGGGTCCCAGGTTCGATTCCGGTCAAGGGCATGTACCTGGGTTGCGGGCACATCCCCAGTAGGAGATGTGCAGGAGGCAGCGGATCGATGTTTCTCTCTCATCGATGTTTCTAACTATCTCTCTCCCTTCCTCTCTGTAAAAAATCAATAAAATATATTTTAAAAAAAAAGAGTGGTAATGTATAAAAGAAATGTAGTAGAGAATTGGGCTGGAGAGTAAAAGAAAGCAGGGTCTAATATATAATATCCCTCTAAAGACTCAAGGAAGTAAACACATTATGGACGTGAAAATTTAGGAAGGAGGAACTGAGAGCCTGAAAATATGAATGTCCTCAGATAGAATTCCTGTGACAAGGCCTCTCCTTCCTGCAAAAGATTGTATCTATTCATATTGTCTTACAAGTGACTCAGGTGAAGCAGTTTCTTAGGGAACTAGGGGGCATACAAAGTGATATGGTGGACAATATTACCACCACCATCACCACTGACATCTATTAAGTGTTTAATGTGTTCAAGATACTGTTCTAAGCACTTCACAACTTCACATCATTTAACAATTCTATAAGTAGGGTACTGTAATCCCATTTTTCAAACAAGGAAACTGGAGGCTAACAGTAAATAACAGAGCAAGTTAGGGAAAGGAGTTCAAAACCATACAACTGAAGTACATACTCTGACATTGTGATTTGATTCACGAAATAAAATTTAGAATACTGGCAGGAATGGACTATGCATTTTTCAGATAGTTCTCATTAATGTTTTAAAAAATGAAGTTCTGATGATAGCAATTAAAGATGATAGCCTCTGTCCACATCCTTTGAAAACTTAGTTAGCCACAATAACTGATTTTAGAATCATGGAGTCTGAGTAAAAAGGCCAGGCTGTCCAGAGGGCCCCTCCACTTCCATGGATACTCAATCTATCACTCTGCTTTGGTTCCTAAGAGAACAACGCTGAAGATCAGAACCACAGCTGTTCCTAGAACAAAATGATAGATGTGCTCTGTGGACTTCTGATAAAAATGTCAGCCCAAAATCTGGGTTCATGGAGAGTACTGCTGGGCCAACTAGAAGCAATATTTGCCTGCATAATGACACCTGATAAGTGCTATAATGCTGTTCTGAAAAGGCTAACTGAAAACTCTGTATCCCTGAAATAAGATCAAATGGAGAATCAAGAAGGCTCATGCCAGAAATACATAAAAATGGTGCCCCCAGAGTTGTGTAACAAGGTACCCCTGGGACAAGATCACTCAAATACCTGTTTACTTTACCACTTATCCTCTTAACTCTTTCTGGCATGAAACTCTTAGCAAACTATCCTGACACCCAAGCAGGCATGCATTAACAGTCTGAAACCTTAAGAAAGCCAATGATATGATGAGGAAATCTCATCTCTACAGAGCACCAATTTTGATGACTGTGCCATTATACTAAAACAGCACTGGTTTACCCTAGACCGGTGGTTGGCAAACTCATTAATCAACAGAGCCAAATATCAACAGTACTTCTTCAAAATAGACTCGCCCAGGCCGAAAACCAACTTCTGCGCATGGGCCATGAAGTTTCAATCGCACTGTACACGCGCCCGCACGTGGTATTTTGTGGAAGAGCCACACTCAAGGGGCCAAAGAGCCGCATGTGGCTCGCGAGTCATAGTTTGCCGACCACGGCCCTGGACTGAGAAAACTTCTAGTATAGTCCCAAAGAGCAGGAAAGAAGGAAAAACACAGTAAGTGGGGAGAAGTATATTGGCAGATTGAAAATCTGGGTTCTGCCCCGGCTGGCTTGGCTCAGTGGATAGAGCGTCAGCCTGCGGACTGAGGGGTCCCAGGTTTGATTCTGGCCAAGGGCACATGCCTGGGTTGCAGGCTCAATCCCCAGTGGGGGGTGTGCAGGAGGCATCCGATCAATGATTCTCTCTCATCACTGATGTTTCTATCTCTCTCTCTCCTCCCTTCCTCTCTGAAATCAATAAAGAAATATATTTTAAAAAAATCTGGGTTCTAATTTCAACTTTACCACTGCACTGTTAATAAGAAGGGAGGTTTACTATAATTAAGTTGGACAGGACTTTTCTTTCAAGAAGTTCAAGGAACTACATATTTATTTCTTTTTCAATCTCAAAAGATATCTTGGAAGCACTGAGATGAAGAAAAAGACAGTATTACATAGCATCCATAAAACACATAGTAGGACTTGAAACTCTTACACCAGAGCTCTATCCATCTGTCCATCCTTCCACAGTGCTACCAGTCATCTAGGAATAAAGATGTCACTGCCCGCAACATGTGGTTTTTGTATACATGATGAAGACCACCACCTCTTTCCCGGTACACACTATTTTTTGCTGTTTTTCAAATACAGCATGATTTTCTTTTCTCAGATAAATAATATTCTCTTAATACAACCAACCTTTAGAAAAATCATGAAACACCTCAACCACCTAGGAATCAAGACTTCTGGAATCTAATTTTATGATTATCAGTGAATGATTGAATAACTTACAACTCTACTAAGGTTTTACTTGGGTTAAGGATGGAACAGAATAAACCCTGTTAAAAAAAAATTCACAAGGCATATAGTTAAAGAATGAAGGCAGAACAGAAAAAAAATGCTCAAAGTACTCCTGAAAGGAACAAAGAGAAATATTTCCGTGTGATGAGAACTATTAGGAACAATTAGTGAAAATTATATAAAGAGCACATAATTACAAAGGAACTACCCCAAAGTATCAGTTCTATAGCCTCCAGCTCAGTAATCACCAACTAGAAGCACTTACAAGAAATAGAGATGCAAAGAACAATCAATTCAAATTCAACTACAGAAAGAACTTGACTCACAGATCTCAAACATTCTATTGAGCAAAACTGTTCCAAAATGCACAACTGCAGAAAGGATGCAATATTAGTTAAGGGCCTGAAGTGAAGAAACAGGGAACCATTTTTAAATATATATTTTGTTGATTTTTTACAGAAAGGAAGGGAGAAGGATAGAGAGTTAGATACATAGATGAGAGAGAAACATCGATCAGCTGCCTCCTGCACACTCCCTACTGGGGATGTGCCGCAACCAAGGTACATGCCCTTGACTGGAATCGAACCTGGGACCCTTGAGTCCGCAGGCTGACGCTCTATCCACTGAGCCAAACCGGTTAGGGCACCATTTTTAACTCAGTAAGCAGACAAAGTCTTTTTCTCAGGTCCTAAGGACATTCAAGGACTGTCCCAAAAGAATTTGAGGCCTTCCTACTACCTGTAAACTCTCCCAAATACAAAATAACTCTGAACAGGCTTATCCCAATTCTATTGGAAAAGACCATCACACCACATCTATTTGGGACCAACAGGAATATGGGCCATCACCATCTACCCCGGCACTGCTGGACCATCATTCCCACAGGACCAGGATACCTGTGGGAAGAACAATTCAGTGGTTCCCCTTGCCCTGCCCATTCCGCTATAAATAATGGATGTAGGCAATGTGAGGCAGGGGAATAAAGGCTGGGGTTCAAGGAATATATGCACCTAATATTTAATCATGAACCTGGCTCAGAAACCTATGGGGAACACATTTTATAAACCAGCCTGGAATTGATTTTTAGGAGACACATCCCTAGGATTATAAGCTCTGAACTCAAAACTCTTTTGAATCAATATTGTCGTTTTCAAGCTACCTAAAAATCAATCACCATCAAATCTTGTATTTTGAATCCTTCATAGTTTTATCCACTTCAAGCTACCTATGAACCAATTTTGTCATGAAAACTTCACCCTGTCATATCAAATTCAAATAACTCCCATAGATTCAATCACTCAACAGATCCACACCAAACACTAAGCTGTAATATTAAGGATATGACCCCACTCTAAACTCAACTCTGCTGGTTCCAAGTGTCGGAAAGCAAGTCCATAAGTTATGCCACAAGGACTATACTAGCAACGAGGGCCCATTTGTCCCCAAAGTGTCCTTTGGACACAATGCAGCGCTACTCCACAATTTCACGTGCACATCTCATAATTCATTCCTGATGAGTATTGGTGGGAAGAGAAGGTGATGGGGATGGAGACAACTTTTTACACAAAAACTTCCTGAGTACCCCCAAGAGATAGTAGAAAAAGGCTGATTTTTCTCCCACAGCAAACACCAGTATTACAATTGCTATTACTTAAAGAATGCTGTCCTACTGTCTCCCAAAGAAACTTATTTTATTAGGACCCCTTCTCCACCCCAAACCAGAAAAACCATTAACCCAAAATTGTCTTACCCTCTCTCTCTCTTCCTCCTGTTGTTTTATTCTTTCTCCTTTCCAGGGCTCCTGAACTTTCTGTAAACAAATTGTCTGGGTTACACGGGCCAGTTAAGGGTGCAGACACCAGAGAACTGTGGAGGAATTCTTTGACTGTCAGCAGTCAGTCAGAAAGGCAGGTGGACCCCCAGCCAACCATCCAAAGGTGCAAGGATATAATAACAGGAGTGCAGTGCCACCCCTTTGTAGACACAAGGGAAATAAATCTAACTCCCAGAAACCAAGATGATCTCTATCACCAGTGTTTGGGTTCCACTCCTGAAGAAGACATTGATTCTTCTTCGATCCTCAGGGCCACAGGGAACCAGGGGCCAGAGAACAGAAGAGTTGGAAGAGAAAGGTCCCTGCCCCTAAGGACTGGCTCGGAGGGGAAACTGGGGACTTAGGGGGTGCACAAGCCCTTGTGTCAGGCACGGTGCCAGTTCAGGCCCAGCCACTTCCTCTGGTCTCCCCCCTCCACTTCTCCGAGGACTTCGCCCCTGCCTACCAAAGGCCTTGCGCCAAGAAGTACCTCCCTCGGGCTGCACAGGGGTCTATCTATTGGAGACCCCAGCTGTGCCCCCAAAACCTTTGCTCCCTTGAAACAGCCCCTGGCAGCTTTCTCCTGAGGTCGCCGCCCACCCCTGCATCAAAGACCCTTCTCTGGGACGTCCCTTCTTCTCCTCCAGGGAGCTGAACTCTGCCACCCACCAGCCAGACACCCGCCCCCTAAGCCCCCCCATGCCTCCCCATCGCCCGCTCCTCCAGCACCACTTCCGGTTCCGGGACGGACACACGTACAG